AGTTCCTTCTTCTGTCTTTCATTTCCTTGTCACTGTAATAAGGTGAACAGGCCCCCTCTTCTATGAATTTGACCATGATGTCCTGGAAAACTGTCAGCCAGAATAAATTCTTTTCTCTTTATCAATTGATTTACCTCAGTAATTTTTATAGGAGCCATTATTTTGTCTACCATATCTGTGAAGTGGGTTTCTTTATCCATAATCTAGCACATTCCTCAACTAAGTAAAATCCATTGTAGTAAATTGTACAATATCTAGAGATATTGTTGGTTGGTATGACTAGAAAAATGCTACTAGTATCTAGTGGGTAGAAATGTTAATACAGCAAAGAAATCATTTAATAAAAAATGTCAATAATTCTGCCATTTAGAAACTTTCTTTTAAAAGCCTGGGAATTAGAGAAGGTAGTACCTTGACCAAAGTGAGAACCAATATGTTTCAGAAACATGACCTAAACCCACCTAACTTTGGATTGTGACACTCAACTTGGCCACACTGTAGCACCATAGGATGAATTGCCTGTGACAAGAAAAACCTAATGTCCTCTAACCATCTAACTTGTGAAAAAATATTGCTTTAGCAAACAGCAACAAAAAAAAGAATTTCTCAATCACAGAGAATTTTTTAAATAATGTACTTGTTTTCAACAGCTGTATCACTAACAATCCATTGACCTAAACATTAACATCGCATAAACCACTGTATCATTAAATAAACACTGAAAATTAATTATATTAATATTAGTAATATAATATTATATTATTTTCCTATAGCCATATGTTCCCTGAACCACCAAGAATTCATTTAAATATAACTATGGCATCTCAGCTGCACAAATATCAGCATGAATTTCAAAGACTTTAATTCAAGAACACTTTTATTGGGTGAACAGCTACATTTCAGCATCAATAATGGCAATTCATCTAATTATATATTTGTATACAGGATTTGCTTGGTCCAAATTATTTAAGAATTTAAATCAAAATTGTAGAATTTTAATTTTTAGACTACCACAGTGCCATGAGAAATAAAATAGCATCTAACCTGCATATGATGGAAGGTACTTTTAGAACTGACTTCCATTGATTAAGGCTCCTTAAAATCAATTATTTTGCTGCCTTTGTGAGTTTTAATAATTGGAAAATCAGTTTTCCAAGGAGTGTCAAGAAACTAATGACTTTCCCAGAGTTACCCAGCTCCTAAAATTAGAATCAAGAAAAAACTGCATAGTATCTCCCTCTTTCCTAGTCCACCCTGAGAGGCTTACACCACATCTGATTCAGAGTCAAGTATCTACTGAATTTAATTGTTAGCCTAATATTTACCAAGGTCTTGCAAACATCACATTTTATGCTCAAGGCTGATTTTCAGTCTATAGACTAATTCTGCTATCTAATGGCTCCCCATAACTCCTAGACTTCTCTATAACTCAGAAAGTAGAGGAAATTTACTGATTTCCTGAATCCTGCTACAGGACTATGGTTAATGTCCTTTCCCTTCAGTGGGTGTTCTTGTCAAACTTGCTGTTAAGGATTTTGACCATCATTCTTGTATATGTCTTACAAGCTTCAAACTTGACTTTAAATCTCTTAACCTCTCTTCTTATACTACAATGAGTGGGGAAAAAATAATGGATCCTATTCAGTGAATCGTGATGATTATATAAGACAATTTGCATAAGTTTCAAAACACAGTAGCTTCCACACAATAAGCTCTCAAGAAATTAGTATTGTTGTTATTATTTTGCTACAATGTAAGTTCCTGAGGGCAGGGCCTGAGTCTGTTTAGTATACTACTATAATTTATCCCAGTTTTGTGAGTTGGGTATAGTATATGCTCCATAAATATTTGTCAGATAAGAGAACCAACCAACACAGTTTCCATCCAGACTAATCACAGACTCCAGCTTTGTCCAGTTATCTCAGTCCTACACATAGCATTTTGATTCAACTTGAAGCATAAATTTAACATGCGCACAATCTAGTTAAGATACTCAAGATGCATATACAGAAGATCGATCTACTTGAAATCTAAAATTATTTTATGTAACTTGAGAAAAATAATTACAGTCATAGAAATTATCTTTAGGTAGAATATTTACTAAGTACTGCAACATGTTTTAGCAATTGTTTGCCCATGCATTGTTGAGTGTATATGATGAGTTAAAAAATAGTGGCTAGCCTAAGAGAGGCTATGTGAAGATAGCTTCATTTTCATCACAAAGGGAGCTATATATGATTTTAATTCAAGGAACACTAAAGAAACCTTAATGCATAATATATTCATAAAACCCAAATGCGACTGTGTCTAAATTCCTGTAATAAGGATATAATAGTTTTGTTTCTGCCAGATCTTCCTTCACAGTGTGATTACTTCTTGAATTGCTAATAGCTCAGCCAAAAGGCATGCAATATTTTTTTAAAGATGTGTATCATGCCTACTGCCCAAAAGGACTCAGTACTCATAATACAACATAAAACAGAAAATCACAAAAAAAAAGAACAGAGATTTTTGCAGAAAAGTGACTTCAAGGAGTTAAAATTGGACAGTGAATTTTTTTATAACATCTTGGTAACTGTGGCACAAACTGAAATCATTTTACATAATGTGGTCTGCATTTTTCACAGAACACGCACACACACATACATCTACAAACACATGCTTTCTCCTAGAAACAAGTAGTACCAGAAATATTGCCAAAACTCTTGTGGTTTGAGTGTGAATTTCTTAGAACTGACTCATCCTTTATACGGGCAAAGGTCAGGTGAGCAATTTAGGGCATTCCCACCTACTTAGAATTCCTGTCACACTCAAGTGAAAATCTTCCTTCTGGTCTTCATTAATTCAGGTCCTTCCTGTGGATGTCATATAAAATTATAAAGTGACCCAAAGTTAGGTTCATTTATTACAAAGAGTAAATACAATTAAACACACCAATTCATTATTTACCAATATCTTCAAAGTACACAATAAACTTCACGTAATCACGTAATAATAGCTATACCATCAGTATAACATTTTACAGTTTAAAAATACTTTCACAGAAATTGCATCAAACTATTCTTTTACTCAACAAATATTTATTGGATATCAATGATGTAGTAGACATATGTGTTAGAAGAGACCAGTATCAAATACAACTAGGTTCATAAAATTTACACTTTTGCAGGGAAAGTGCTACCAGGAAGAAATAATTGCCCAAATAATTACACAGTTACAGCTGTGATAAGTGCCACAATGGAAAATGTTACAGTTAGGGTCTTGAATGTCACCCAAACCCCATGTACTATTCTCAGTTCATAGCACTATTGGAGGCACACTTAAGAACTCAGGCCTAGGGGAAGGAAATTAGGTCACTGTAGACATGCCTTTGAAGAGGACATTGGGATTCTGGCATGTTCTTGTCCTTTTGCACCCTCAGCTGCTATAAGGAAAGTAGTTTCATTCACTTTTCATGTGAGTTATCATAGATATTTTGTTTAGCAATATCAAGCTAACTAATGCAGAAAAGTGCAATGGATTATGAGAGTGTCCAACTAGGCAGCAGCCTGATCTAGAGTGGTCAGGGAAAGTTTCCCTCTGGAAGTGTGGTTAAGGTTGACCTGAGGAATGAATGAATGAATGTTAGACAAGCCAAGGGGAAAATGAGCATTAGAGGCCAAAGAAATATTTTGTGTAAACAATCTGAGATGGGAAGGAATCCAGCCTACTCTGGCAAATGATGAGAAAATATTTGGTTTAATTTTCCTAGGTATATATTCTGAGTGGAATTTGTAGATCGTATCATAATAATATGTTACGATTTTTTGAAAAATCACCAAACTGTTTTCTGCATTGACTGCACCATGTTATATTTGGTTCAGCACTGCCCTTTTCCTCTTAAAAGGGGAAAAACCATATTGTGTAAAGAGGCTTCATTTTTTAAAAGATGCTTTAGAACTGCACCTTCCTCCTACATGGGCTATCTTTGATGTGAGTAGACATTCAGAACCGAGAGATGGGTCACATAAGATAAAAGAGAAGAGGCAGGAAGACCATGCTCCACATTATGTGCTTTGTAGACCACCCTTTTCTAAGGATTTGATCACTGGACCTCACACACTAATGAGTATTTGTTGATAGTCTCAGAACTTTAAGAGAAGTTGAATGTCCCAAATATCAACCCAGCTGGCTCCAGACTACAGCAATCAACATCTGTAAAAAAGAGTTACCTTGGCTCCCCAAGTATCTAAATAACTTCAGGGAGCAGAATATTAGAGTATTTACAGCTACTAGTTAAGCAGGCTCAGCTTAATTTTAGTTCTGACTCATCACTTTATGACTGGGCAAACCTTTAGCTACTCTGAGCTTCAGGTTTTTGTTTACAGAACGGAGATAATTTTTGTCTCACCTGGTTATTGTGAGGATTAACAAAGGAATGCGCTTTGCAATGATAAAATACTCAGTGTTGATAGTTTTATGATTCTGAGTCATGTTGTGTTTTCCTTAGTGAAATTCCCAAGTAATTTTTTCATTCCAAAAGGTTTTGTCATGATTTCTTTCATATGCATGGAAGTTACATTATTATAATATAAAAAACTCTGAAGTCAGAAATACCTGAAATAAATGCTAGTCCTGGCACTTCCTGGCCTGCTTCATACTTCAATGTGCATAGGAAACGGGTGGAGATTTTTGAAAATGTAGAGAGTGATCCTACAAGTCTGTGACTGTGCCCAAAATCGAGCATTTCTAATAAGCTATCTGATGGTGTTGTCAGAGCTGATCTGTAGGTCATATTTTAGAAATAATATAAGAACTTCATTAATGCCATCAGCTTGTTGTCCATATTAGGAAAGTTAGCTAATAATGGGAGTATTTTAGTAGACCTCCATGGTCCATGGGAAAAGGATGTAAAGCTGGGGATTGCTTATTGTTTGGTTTCATTTACATTTCTTGGCCTGCAAATAAGGAGCATATTTCTACTGTAGAAAAAAATCTAGTAGGAATCACTATTTTATTTTTTTAATATGAAATGCTTCATGAATATGCAAGTCATCCTTGCACAAGAGCCATGCTAATCTTCCCTGTATTGTTCCAGTTTTAGCATATCTGCTGCTGCAGTGAGCACTTAAGAATCATTTTTAATATAGAAATTTTGATAATCACTCATTCTAGGGTCTCTCAGGAATGTTAAGGAAAACTAAAGATGAATAAGAACAAAGAGAAGGAAAATCAAAGGTTCTATGCCACAAGCAAAAGCAGACTCTTGTTTTTCAAATAGAACAGTGATTTCAGAACCAAGAAGTTACTCTAAATGTAACACAGAATGACGGTGACAAGGACAACACTCCCTCTCTTCTCCTCTTCTTCCCCCCCAGTTCTTTCTCTTTCTCCGTCACTCTCTCCTCCTCTCTTCTTCCTCTTTCTTTGGTGTGGTCAAATATGCATTACCCAAAATTTATCATGTGTGCAATTGGTAAGTTTTAAGTGTGCAACTCAATGGCAGTAAGTACACAGTGTTGTCCAGTTAGCACCATTACTGATCACCATTAAAAATTCCTTATATTCCCCCTCCACCCAGCCCCTGGTAGTCACTATTCTATTTTCTGCCTCTATGAATTTGATTTTTCTGAATTTCTCTTCTAAGTAGAATTATAATTTGTTCCTTTATCTTTGGCTTATTTCATTTTGTATGATATTTTCAAGGTTCATTCATATTTCTAGCAAATACCTGAATTTCCTTCTGTTTTAAGGCTTAATAATATTTCATCATATACATATTCTACATTTTGCTTGCCCATTTATATGTTGCTGTGATTTTTACCTCTAAAGCCGTTATGAACATCAATGTACAAATATCTATTTGAGTATCTGTTTTCTAATCTTTTTATATAGATATCCCAAAATGGAATTATTGGATCATATGGTAATTCTATGTGTAAAGTCTTTCAGGTTTTTGATGGCATCCTTACCAGCAATGCCCTTTCTTTGTAAAACTAGAAAAATGATATTTGTAATAAGGAATCATTGTTTGGAAGTTCCTGTAGACCTGTGGCTCCATTTCTAGGTAGACTGCCTTTTGGAACCTCTGGTCAGATAAATGAACTGGTCTCCCTGAGTTTTTAAGTACTGTATATTTTCCCCATTTGAGGCAGTAGTGGAGATTGAACCCCAAGCCTTCATACTGAGCTCCTAGCTGTTTATTTCATTTTATTTTATTGTTTAGAGGTTGGTTCTTGTTACATAGCTAAGTTGTCCAAGCTGGCATCAAATTCATGATCCTCTGCCATACTTTCCTAGAGTCCTGGAATTACGGAAGCACACCACCATAACCAGCTCCCAGTTGTTTCTTTTTGGTGCTCATGGTCTCTTGAAAGATATCCCTCTAGAAAACAAATAATATTGTACTATAGCAGAAAGAGCAAGGCATTTTGAGTGGTGTACTAGAAAGAAAATGGGAGTTTGGGTGATAAGATCCTGTTTGTAGCCATGACTCTGCCTTATCCTCATTATGTGACTTTAAATGTCACTAAAGTATAAATCAGCATCCTCAAGTGTCAGCCAAGAACAGGAATGCCTTCTCCATGGATAGAGAGAGCGAATGAGATAGTGCATGAAGAAACATAAAACAGCTTTCCCCGCAGCACTTGTGACCACCAATGTCTGCATGTGCACACACACACACACACACACACACACACACACACACACAGAAGCCTCGGTAGAGTAACTTCACTTTCATTCATTTTGTGTATTAGGCATCCCTGTAAGATTGTTTTGAAAAGACAGTTTTTATGGCTAACAGAAATCGAAAACTGCTGAAATATGTTGACCTCTCTTACATAGTCTTTCTTTCTTTCTTTCTTTCTTTCTTTCTTTCTTTCTTTCTTACCTCTCTCCCTTCCTTTCTTTCTCTTCCCTTATCTTTTTCTCTTTCTTTCTTTCTCTTTCTCTGGTTCTGTCTCTCTCACTCTGGCTTGCTCTCTGTCTGTCTGTCTCTGTCTGTCTGTCTCTGTCTGTCTCTCTGTCTCTCTGTCTCTCTCTCTCTCTCTCTCTCTCTCTCTCTCTCTCTCTCTCTCTCTCTCTCTCTCTCTCTCTCTCTTTCTCTCTCTCTGTCTGTCTCTCTCTTCCAGGCCTTCTTCAAACATGGAGGTCTGCTCCCTAATGAAGAAGAAGGCAAAACAAGGCAACTCTGATTTTCATCCTCTTGTACCTCTCAGGTAGCCTATCAGTTTTTAAAATTTTCTTTCACTGGTAAACTCCTGAGGGGGTGGTTAACATACCTACTTTTTTCTTCCACAGCTCTCATTTTAGTCTCATATTCTGACCCGAGGTTTCTCATGTAACTATGTAATGGAAGTCACCTTACCACTAAACTCAATTCCATTCTCTTAGTATTTTTTGACATAGCTTACTTTCCTCTGAAACTTTGTCCCCCTACTTTTCCGAGAAATATTGAGATTCTGCATACCTCATCATCCACTGCTTGCTTAACTCTCCTTGTCCTGGGAAAGTGGTGACCTCTCCAGGATAAGTGCTCAGCCGTCTGCTCATTTTCCTCTTTAGCCCTGCTCAGTATCACCTAGGAAGAATTAAAGTACAGCCAGGATCTGTCCCCATCGACAATAACTTAACTTGAAAGAGAAAAGCTGTATCAGAGAAATTGCTCTTCTTAAAACTATGTTCTTCTTATACTTGAAAATGAAAAAAGGATAAAAATGTTGATACAGATTTTCAAAACAAAATAATAGTAGATTTACAACACTTAACATATTGTGTATTGTTATCTTCAAGGTAGTTGATAAGATTATAAAATGATCAATGAAAGTGCAAGCTATATATAATACATGTATGATATATATAAGTGATCTTTTCCCGTCTTTCTTTTCTCTTTTCCCTCATCCCAGTTATTCATTCTCCTTTCACTTTCACAATGTCTATTGTACAGTTTGCACCTTATTAATGCTTTCAATTTCTTACTCTAGGGAGACAATACAATGTTTACACACGTGAGTCTGACATGTCACTCATGAGTATGAGTTCTCAGGTTGCATCCACTTACCTATTAAAGTCTCAAGTTCATCCTTCTTTACAGCTAAGTGGTACTCCGTTATATAAAAACACCTCATCCCTTTTATCCATTCCTCCGTTGATGAGAATTTGGATGGTTTCCAAGATTTAGCTATTACAAATTCTGCTGCTGTGAGTATGGGTGCACAAATATCACTGTGGTATGATGTTTTCAATTCTTCTGGGAAAATGCCCAGAAAGGGAATAGCCAGATTGAATGGAACCTTCAAGCAGTTTTTTGAGGAATCTCCACACTGATTTCCACAGTGGTTGTATCAAACTATACTCCCACCAAAGTGGAGAAGGGTTTCTTTTACCTCACAATCCTTCCAATATGTATTATTGGTTGATTTCTTGATGATAGCCATTCTTTCTGGGATGAGATATAATCTCAGTATTGTTTTAATTTGCGTTCCTTGAATGAACAATGATGTTGAACATTTTTCATACATTTATTTTCCATTGTATTTCTTCATCTGAGAAATGCACATTTTTCATTTGGGTTTTTGAATTTTTTTCAATTTTTTCTATAGCAGTCCTATGTCTAAAGGACAATTGGCTAAAAAATTTTCCCTATTCTGTGTGTGTTATCTTTTCACTCTGCTGGTGATTTCTTTTGATGTGCAAAACTTTTTAATTAGATGAGATTCTTTGGCATATGGAAAGCCAGTTTTTCCAGAACCATTTCATTTATTAAAGAGGCTATCTTTTATCCAGTGAACATGTTTAGCCCCTTTGTCAAAGATAAGGTGGCAGAATGTCTCTGTATTTGGGTCTGCATGTTCTAATCTGTTTCACTTGTCCTCAGGTTTGTTTTACTGCCAGTACCACACTAATTTTATCATAGTAGTTTTGTAGTATAATTTCAAGTCAGGAATTGTGATGCCTCCTGCCTTGCCTTTGTTGCCCAGGATAGCCTTTGTTATTCTAGATCTTTTCAGTTTCCAAATGAATTTTAGGAATGTTTTCTCTAGATCTGTGAACTATGCTAGTGTTATTTTGATTGGAATTGTATTAAATCTGCATAACAGTTTTGGTAGTATGACCATTTTCACAATGTTGATTCTTCCTCATCTAGAAGCAAAGAATATCATTCCATTCTCTGATAACCTCTTCAATCTCTTTTCTCAGAGTACTCTAATTTTCAATACATATAGATCTTTTACAACCTTTGTTAGATTGATTCCCAAGTCCTTCATCTTTTGTGCTATTATTAAGGGTGTGGTTTCCCTAATTTCTTTGTTAGTGAGTTTGTTGTCTGTATTAGAAATGCTATTATCTTCTGAGTGTTGACTTTGTATGTAGCTATGCTGCTGAATTTTCTTATTAACTCTATCAGTCTTTTAGTGGAATTTTTGGGATCTTCTATGTAAAATATCATGTCAAATAATGATAATTTAACTTGTTCATTTTCTATTCTTATTCCTTTTTGTTTCTCTCTCTCTCCTGTCTAATATCTCTGGCTCATATTTCCAGAACTATATTGAGTAGGAGTGGTGATAGTGGACATCCTTGTCTTATTCCTGATTTTAGAGTTAAAGTTTTCAGTTTTTGTCTGTTTAGTGACATGTTGGCTGTTGGTTTGTCATAGATGGCTCTTATCAGATTGAAGTAGTGACCTCTATTCCAACTTTCACTAGGATCTTTCTCAAGAATAAGTGTTAGATTATCAAAAACTTTCTGAATCTATTGAGATGATCATGAGATTTTTATCTCTGGCTCTGTTGATGTGGTATAATACATATTTTGATTTGCATATGTGGAACTATTCCTGGATTCCTGGGATGAAGCCAACTTGGTCATCATTCTTGATGATTTGCTGCATTCTGTTTGCTAGAATTTTATTAAGGATATTTGCATCTATATTCATCAGGGAGACTGGCCTGTACTTCTTTTTTTGGTTGGCTCTTTCTCTGGTTTTGGTATCAGAGTATTACTTGCCTCCAAGAATGTGTTATGGAGAATTTCTTCCTTTTCAATTTCATTAGAGTTTGAGGAGTACTGGCATTCAATCTTCTCTAAATTTCTTGTGCAATTCAGCTGTGAATCCATCAGGAC